TTGGAGCAGCAGGATGGTCAGTAAATGGACAAAGCTGAAGCTTCTTACAGATGCTAGAAAGTAACTGCTGCATGAGTTAAGGTGGAACGGAAGAAGCTGCCGTATAGGAAGCTGATTCAGTCTCGTAGTAAATAGTAGCTTTCTATCCATGCTGGTAATGTGACAAAACCAACTACTCCCTGAGGACCTGCAGTTACGCTTACAAAACTCACTAAAGCTCATCATGTTACTTTACTAATGTTGAAATATTCCAAGCCATATCATAAATAAATTCTTTGTCCAAGCACTGTACTTCCTTAATGGTAGGTTATAGATGGCAAGCAATGTAACAGCCTTAATTCATAAACAAAACAACTATTCTATTAACTTGGCCCACCAAAATCAAAAGTCCACACAAATACAAAAGTATCCACACACTAGATCCGTCAGATGGCATCACAAATCAAATTCAAATTTTATTCATCTTTATTTATAGAATATTTTGAATATTTTAAATTTTTAAATACATTATTTTTCAAGATGCAGTATTTTACATTACATTATTTTGCCAAGATAACAAAAAAGTAGGATTTCTAACTCACTGTGTTCCTCAAATCCACCAGGGGATGCTCAGCATAAATTACCATCCTCCCCTAAAAGCACATAGTGTTTAAACCAGTGATTCTCTAAAGCAGGGGAGCACAACTTTAAACTGTGTCCAGCACAGTTTAAAGGTTTCCCTACTGAAACACACCCACTAAACCTGCCAATTAACAGGGAAATGTAATCAGGTTTGAGTAGATACATCACCGTGCTGGACACAGTCCTCCAGGACAAGAGTTGTGCACACCTGCTCTATGGGCTTTGACTCATGAGATGGTCATCAAAAAGAAGCACTGGCCAATTCTGATGTATCATTGAGAATGTCTAACCCATAACATCTTCACGCCGGTAATATTCCACTCTCATTCCAAATTAAAAATTGTAGAGGCTTGAAACATTTAGCTTAGAAAATTTTAGTTATTTTAAATGAAAATTATGCGTTCTGGTGCATTCATACAGGTAAACAGGTAATTGCTGTAGAACAACCCTGATTTTGGAGATCCACCACCCTGGAGAGTTCAGATCCAGCACCTCTGAGTCTAATTTTCAGAAGCCTCTGAAGACAACTGTTATTCGTATCAAGTATGTTATATAAGGGCTGGAGCTAAACTTTGTATTCTAGTAGATTCCCAGGACCAGGATTGGGTACCTTTAAAACATGAAGATTGTAGAAAGATTAATTCATTGAGTTCAACAACTATGTCAATTCAAATCAAGTTGAAAACTGTACTGCTTTCCAGGTATTTTGAAATATTTGTTTAAAATAACCTATTGCTTACCATACCAATGTCAGTGTGCACGAAATTTGTCAAACATCTCATTTTAAGATCCCCCTTCAGCAGTTATTAAAAATAGAAGACATTCTAAAAACTCACTGCCATTTGTGTTTTATCTGCTGAAAGGCCTTTACTGGCACAATAAGAGGCAGAGATTTCTTTTTTGTGAAAATGAAACAATCAATGAACTTCTATTGCACAGAAGGGGTTCAATTAGCAGTACCATTAAAGTTCTGATTTCCAGTAACTTTAGGTATGTTAATATTATCCAGCAGTGCTCCTGTAACATTTTAAGCCTACGCAATTCACAAGAGTAACATATTCACCATGCAAATCCAGGAATTTCACTGAAGGGTGATGGGTTTATCAATGATGTGACTAGAGGTGGTGAGTGTCTAGAGGGGGCATCACTTAAGGGGCCAATCAAATTTCTTTTGGATTTCCAAAACATACCCCTGCAGCAATGGCATGTTCTTTCGTCCGTTTGGTAGACATTGTCTGCGATAATGTTAGTTATCAATTGGCCTCGAACACATTGGGAGCCACAGAATAAGTAGCTTAACCCTCCTGTTATCTTCTGACCCCAGTAATTGAAACCTCTGGGAAAATCAAAGTTCTCGTGTGTCGTGTGAACTATCAGTGGTTCTCGCTCTACTACAGGTGTGGTTATGTTAGGACTCTAAAGCAGAGCGAGGTTTAGAAAATTGCATCTTATAGTGACCTCAATATCACCCAAAACAACCAAAATCAAATGTGTGTAAAATGTTGATATTTCTTATGTTTTATACAACTAAAACAGCCTGGGGTCAAACAGACCCCAAAGAACACAGATGTATACGAAATGTGTACAGGACATTGAAACTATATCATCATGTTAATTCATGTTTACTCAGTTGTCTCCATTAAATTAGGAAAAGTCATTAAATATGAAGCATAAAAATGGTCAGTGATTTATTTAGAGATGTTAAACATTGAATGGGATCCAACTGACCCCAAAGATAAGTATTTGAATACACATTTTCTACATTTGCATGTGATTCACTGAACATTTGAATGTTGAATTTTATTTTGACAGCCCTACCACACACTCTTTCTAATTAGAGAATTCAAGTGACTGCAAAGTGCTTTTAACAATAGATATTTTGACAATGAAGCTTCAGAAGGAATCCACGTTCAGACCCCTAATAAGCAAGTTAAATGAAATGAAAAAAATCTAATTTCCTCAAATGTACAAAAATGTAATTTGATGTGGTTTGAGCGAGTTGAGCGAAGTTAGAGGTAAGAACTCAAACAAATTTTGATGCCAAACATGTCTTGATTGACGGACTACATATGGTATTCCCAGCATAAAACTAGCCACCAAAATACACTATATGTATCTTGCACTCCTTCTAATATGTGAATTCAGCTACTTTAAGATGCACACATTGTTAACACAGGTGTTCAACTGCACATACAGCTTGTCTAATCTCCATGGAAAAGTACTTATAATAGAATGAGACACTCTGGAGCAGCTGCTCATAACCCTAAGATGATCTTAACCAATGCCAAGCACTGGCTAGAGCTGTGAAGTGATGGAGCTCCATTCAAAAATTCAATAATTGGAGCTGAATGCAATAAAATCCTTACAGCAATGTTTCAACATCTACTGAAAAGCCCTCCCAGTAGAACAGAAGTTGTTTCTACAGTAATAGTGCAGAAGTGGAGTACAATCATTGCTGATGCAGAAGGAGTGAAGAAACCTCTCTGTCACAAAGTTAAAGTGTAGGATCGAACATATCAGTATGTGTAACTGTGGTGATCAATCAGGCTTCAATTTACACCGCATAGAGCTCATAGGAGGCCACTATGTTCAGAGCAGACTGTTCAATCAATCAGATGGTAGAGTGTTAAAAGCATTTCAATTCTCTTTTCAAATTACACAACTCACTGCACAGAAAAAAAGACTCCAGGGTTAAACGAACTCCTATAGGGTTCACATGAGCCTATTATTGTCAGTTAATTTGGCACAGGAAAAAAGACTCAATCTCAAGTGCGTAATTAATTTCTTTGGAGTTCATCCACTACCATTTGGGGGTTTGGAATCACTTATATTTATATTTTTGTTATTTTACAGGACTGTGCAAATGTCAAAGACCACCTTTCATTCACAGATTAGTCAAAATGGCCAATAATACAAATGCATTAATGTCTCTGCATCAGAGAAAAAAGCAGAAAAACTATTTAACAGAAAAGCCTCAACAACTTAATATGAGGTTCAGTATTCAGTAACAGAAACCTTTTCAGCATTCAGTGGTTTGTGCACCCTCTTCCACAGCTCAGTCTTAGAAGTCGGTGCATCGCTAAGTAGATTAGGTTTAAGATAATCCACTTGTATATGGAAGGGGAAAGTCAAAGGACAATGTATGAAAAACAGAAGTCTCCAAAACTGGAGTTCAAAAAATGATTAAATATGTTAAATATGTTTTCTGTTTTTTCTTAAAAATTAATAACTTTTAATTCATTCATAAATTAATGGCTGATTTGACTAAAGAGTACACAAATTATGGGGGTTCCTGTACAGTATTGTATGTATAGTAATAACCTATACAATAATAATAATAATAATAATAATAATAATAATAATAATAATAACCTTTCACACATTAAGATGCAAAAGTAATTTATGTAAAGTGCTTTACATAAAACATAATGAGAAGACAGAAATTCAAGAAAATAAAAACACAATAAAAAGAGGTAGGAATAAAAACATAAAAAAAAACATAAAATAAAATACACAATAAAAATGATTAAATAATACAATAAAGTGATAAATAATACACAAAGTGAAATAAAACTAAAAACCACAACAGATAAAAATAATAGAGAGTGATCCTGTGTTTGATGATGTTAGACATTGTTGTGGAGCATATTCAGTTTAACAATCTGACATGTAGGCAGGTGCTGGCCTAATAATGGCCTTAAAAACAAATAAGAGAGCTTCAAAATGTATTCTGTATTCAGTGTTTATTTAAATCTGATAAACCAGACCTTACAGGTATTTTCAGATGTTTGGTTCAATAATTCAAACATTTTGGGAGACATTGTAGATTTTATAGTATATATATATATATATATATATATATATATATATATATATATATATATATATATAATAATTTTAACTTTATTATCAATGCTACACAGTTTTCTCAGTTCTTTTACAATCATCTACAGCTCAATTCATCACTCTGGACACATCTAAAACTTACATATAAATAATTTAACATACTATCTACAGGAAACAATCTTGCAAATATATTGGGAGAAAATTGTGCAGACGCCACATTTTATGTTCTTTCTCCAGTTTGTTGAATTCAGCAAACACTAATTGTGCACTAAAATAAGGAGAACTGTATACTTATTTATATATTATGTTATATATATTATAAAATGTAATTTGACAAGAAGCGACTAAACTTTTGCATATGACAGTATTTGAAAACTGGGAAGTCGCACAGTGTTTGATCTATCTGCAATAAAATTTACATTATTGAAAACACTGATTCCAGACTGTTAAATAGTGATGTCTATGAGCCTATTGTACCTAGAGTGGCCCTAAATGCGGTCTGAGTTGAAAGGCTAGTAAAAGGGAAGCTGTACCTGTACTTCATGCCGGTGAGTTTGCCGGTGGATTCCTTCAGGGAGATGTGGTGACGATGTGTGAAGGAGCCCAGGCTGCGGGCGATCAGCGCCACTGTCCGGAAGCGGGCGCGGGCGGCGCTGGCTGTATTAGGACTGGCCGTGTTCTGCTTGGTTGGCTCGTTGGCCCGCGGGGCCTTGAGACCGTGGTCCGTGCAAGCGAAAGACACCTGCATGGCTAGGACTGGAGTTTAAAGTAGACCTGTCGTCAGGCAAAGGGTAGAACCCTGGGCAGGATCGGGACAAACCAGAGGAGGAGTGTGGAATTAGAAGCTGATCACATCCAGGTGAGAACTTATATTTCTTTGACCCAGATTAAAGCAATAGTTAGGCAAAAAAAAATCTAATGTAAACAGGTTACCCCTCACCCCAAACACAGACAATCAGTCAAGACAGGTTTGGTGTTTTAAGTTGTTTGTACCTTGTTGCATTATCTCAAATAGATTTGCTTATCCATGACAGAGACTCACAGTCGCATGCAAGAGGTTCAATACTCCCAGTCAAATTACATGTTTTGTTGATTTTCTAAGTGAAAGTAAGTTAACACATCCTCTACAGAGAACACACTTCAATATGACATATTTCTGCAAATTTTAGTGCACGATTTGTATTTATTTGCTGGGTTTAACACATGAAAAAAAAACATATAATGTGCCATAACTTTTGACCAGGCCATATTTAACATGTTCTTTTTATTTCCAATAAGTTAAATTCAGCAAATAAACAGTAAAAATGTGCTGAAGTGTGTCTTCTGTAGAGGATATGTTCACTTATTTTCACTTCAAAAATCAAGAGCATACATTTTGGTGTAATGCTAAGAAAAACATGCCAGCAACCAGAAGGATGTTAGTTCAAATCCCTCAACTCCTACTTGTGCAAGAAATTCAACTGCCCTAGGTAGCACTGTTACACTCATCCCAGACTGGGCAAAGATAGGCAATTTCCCTTGTAAGTGGACATAAGCGTAATTTAACTTATGACATAGTGTTACACTACCATCCAAAAGCTTGTAATCATTGGTTTCAATAATATTGAACCAAATTTGTTGCAGATACATATATAAAATGTTTGTAGCATGACACAAATATACTAAACACTTCAAACAATTTGTAGGAAGCTGTAAAAAATGTAAAAAAAAATTGATGGTGACTGGAGCTGTAGATGATTCCATAATCATTTAGAAAGCCGTATAGCATTGATAACGATGCTATAACAAAATTAATATCCAGAATGCCTCATATTTGAAAAGCAGTGACCAAATCTCTCTGACTGAAAAGCAATTCATAATACATTTGACAAGAAATTATTTAAAATAGGTAATAACAGTTTATTTATTTATTTTTTTTGTACTACTGTCTTTTTTAACTGTGTCAAATTTCTAAAATACTTTAAATTATTACTAACTCATCAGTTTATGCTTTGGTGTCAAGTTTATAACAATCACCATGAGTACATAAGGATAAGTTATTATTAAATAACTATTGAATGGTGTTTATTAAAATAAACGAACGCACTATGATTATGTAAAAACTCAGCGCAGTTTGAGACAAGCATGTGATGATTCAGGCATAAAGTTTGCACTATACTAATTGGTGGCCATTATCTTTCATTATTGTTAGCTGCAGTAGCCTCATCGCTAAAACTAAAGCAAAAAAAAAGAAGGAAACTTCAGGCTGACTGACTATATTTGGAGTAAAAGGGAAATGTGTAAGGGGTAACTCTGATTTGTCACTGAGCTATGGTTTCAAGCCTTAGCTTAGAATAATATACAGCTTAGAAGCTATAAAAACATCATTGGAATTGCAGTGTTTGAAATTGCAAGACTATCCAGGAAACTGGCCATAAGAGATTTAGATTTGGACTTACCAGTCCTTATGATGTGATTGGCTCAGAGACTGCAGGTCTTAGAGAAGCCAGAGGCAGCGCAGGGTCATAGGTGCTCAGTCCTTCTGTATACGTGTGTGGAGAAATGAAGATGACCGCGAATGTCCTGCTCAAAGAATAGAAGTGCCTTTGGAAAGTCTTGAAGGAGTCCAGAGATCAACACTTACTGCTTTCTACATCTATTACATGCGCCTCGCTCTCTCTCTTCCTCTCCGCTTTAGGGACAGCAAGCTGTTCCAGTCTCTGCTGACCAATGATCGTCTTTTCTTCTTCTTCTCCCGGAGTGATTCTGCTCCACTTCTCCTTCACTTCCCCTTTTTGTTTCTTCTACTGCTCTGTCTTCATCTTTCAATCTTCTTCTCCTCCAGCGAGCTCAGCAGAGCCTCAGCAGCCCCTTAAACAACTCCCGGAGACAGAAGAACCCACAAAGCAGGAACACAGTTGCAAACTCTCTGACAGAAATCCACACTGAGGCTTGTAGCTAAAAAAAGGTGATTGTTACCTGAAATCAACTCAAAGACTCGTCCCAGTGAAATGTGTTCCCATTGAAGAAAGTGTCCCGTCGAAGAGAGACAGGTCATGGAGAAGGATTCCCTAACTAGCGCAGCGCAGGATTCGGAAGGAACTCCTCTTTGATGAACGAAAGAGGACGGGAGTTGAGCGAGAGAGAGAGAGAGGGCGAAGTGAACGAGGCATAATTGCAGTGCCTGGCGGTGGAGGAATGGAGAGAACGAGTGCGAGAGAGGGAGGGATGAAAGCAGAGCTCTTCAGTGCCTACTCAGAGAGAAGGGGTGGGGGGGGGGAGAGAGAGGGAGAGGGAGAGGGAGAGAGAGAGAGGATGGAAAAGAGAGGGTATAAATAGAGAGAGAGAGAACTAGGGTGAGAGAAAAGTGAGAAAGAGGGGGAGAGTCATAGACAGAGAAGGGGAGAGAGAGAGCTGCACGATGACTGAAATAACTGCAGTCTCTCACCAGTGGCTCATTTCAGCTGAGGAGAATCCATCTGGATGGGGCTCTGTGTGTGTGCAGGCGTGAGTGTGTGTGCTCACGCTTGTGTAAGTGTGTGACCGAAACAGAGGGACATGTCTCAATGTCTGAGTGGCTACGCTTGTCCGTGTGCATTTGTGTCAGAGGGTGCCAAAGCAGAAGATGAACAGCGTCTGTGCAGCGTTTATCTGTGTGTCTGAGTGTGTGTGACAGTGACAGCGACTCTAAGAATGTATGTACACACAACAGGGATTGTTCAGGGATGTAATCTAGGTCACAAGCATTACAAAGCACTACATGCACACTAGCACTGTTATTTTCCAGTGAAGGACGTAATGCCTCCCCTTTGAAAATAATGTAAGCCTCTCACCATTCTATGTACTCAATGCCTTCTCAATTATTCAAGTATTTCACAAAGAGGGAAACCTGATGCGAAGGAAAAGACTACGTGCCTTCACGTCTGCACACGGGGGGCACACGAGGTCAAGCAGTGTGGTGCTCCGAGTGAGCTGGGAAAGTGATTCAGGCTGGGAATCTTATCCTGCTTTCAAGTGCAAATCAAGCCGAAAGTTTTCTCCGAGGTGAAACTCCTTCATTGATGCGTTCATGTAAAAATCATGCAGATTGTGGAGTGGCTGTTTATAGCTGGCAATCAGCTGGCATCTGTCGAGTTTGGCCTATTTCAGAGATATTTTTGAAGAGAAACATAACAGAAATAAAATGAAAGTTCATTTACAATTATTTTAACATTGATTTACCTTCGTAGAGTATTATTTGATTATTTACTGTTGTGGGATGGTCCATTTTCTTCCTCAGCCATGATAAAAATCAGCATCACAACTTGGACAATTGCCTATTCATGCTCCACCTTGTTTCATAGCTACTGTAGCTAGGTGGGACCACCTTTATAAAATGCTGGCAAAAATCTCATTCAGCCAATAAAGAAGGACACATTTGTTTGTAAGTAGGATCGCTAATATGTATATATGTAAATCTCAGCCCCCCGACATGGAGCAACAGTCCCATCTGTTTTTACATACCTTCATGCTGTTCAGAACTTAATGGTGCCTTCAGAGGAAGGTATTAAGTTCAGAAAGTAACAGTAAAACCACAGCATACAAAGAAAAAAAACATGCTACTAAGATCTTTGCACAGATTTTTCATGATGTTTAGGTCAGGGGACTGCAAGTGCCATTCTAAAAGCTTCAGTTTGCATTTTCTGAAGTAGTTCATGGTGGATTTTGAGATATGTTTCGGAGCAATAATTAGCTAATGAACTATTATTAATTAGTTAATGAGCATCAGAACAATTCTGTCTCTGTCTTGGTCTTCCGGATCTTCCACAGTTCCCCTTAACTGCCATTTCTTAACCACACTCCAGACAGTGGAACCTGTGAGCTGGAAGCACTTTGATATCTTTTTATAGCCTTCTTCTGCTTCATAGGCATCAATTAGCTTCACTTTCAGATCCTCAGCCAGCTGCTTAGAGGAAGCCATGGTTGTTGAGTGTTAGTACAAGGTTTGAAAAGTCATAGAATTTATAATGCATGAGCTGACAATTCCTAATGACAACTACTGACCTGTCTAACTAGTGCTTAACTAGTCAATTAAGGCTTAACAAGTTCTGCGAAGTTACAAGTAGAATGGTGTCCAAACTTTAGCACATGCCACAATGACTATTTCATTCTTTTCTATTTGTTCATCAAATACAAAGTAACTGTGAAATGTTATTTTTTAATAGTTTGCTGTATAGGTTGTGTTTACTTCTTTTCACTTTAAAAGTCAACAAAATGTATACTCAAAGTTATATTTACAAAAGTATGTACTGGGGTTTCCGCTATGTCTCTTTATTGCTGGTTACGGTGCAAAGGAATGATTCAGTTTATTGGTTATGTGGGTTAAGTATATTCATGTTCACGTACCACAAAACAATACTGTGTTCTGTCTTTGTGTCCGCTGTCAACTTGTCAAATTGTCTATCAAATGTATGACTGTCAAATGTCTCTCAACATATTGATATGTGCTCCAGACTACATGTCTCCATTGGCACCGCAGAAGCCAGTTTTAAACTGGAGTTCTGTGGCTTGAACAGCAAATCATAGAGCGTTCATTAATCCTTGGGGCCATTTTATTGTTTATGTGTTTTAACAAGTAAATTCCTTCACTGACCACCAAATCAGTATCAGTAAGCATGCTTTGTCTTGCTTAAATGATCAAATAAAGTTTATGTTGATAACATAACTGTTTGACGGGGGAAAACAAGCTAACTTGCAATGATTTTAGTCGTCTATCTTAGCAGTTCACTACATTTAAACACTTAGAAACTACATTACTTTCAGCATAATTTACAGGCTAGTAGTTCCAGATACTACTGTTCTTCAAATACAGAACAGTATGGGAATGGTGTGGATGATTGGATGGATGATTGGATTATTTTATTTACAAATAATTTTACACAAGGATTATAATTTACAGGTCAAATACTTGTAACGGACACCTTGGTACATACATACATATACACACAAACCTTTACATATGTGTAAAGCGTTAATAGGCTTATATGCATCTCTCCCAGTGTATCTTTAAGTTTATCTTACTTTTTCACAGTGTCTAGTTTCTTCACAGTCTCTACTGTTTTTCACAGTGTCTAGATTTCTTCCTCACCAAACGCAGTGCTGATGTGGCATTAAGCAAACTGCCTTCCCGAACAGTCTCTCTGTGCTCAAATCAGAAAAGCTCATTGAGTTAAAGCTAACCATCTAGCACAGGCTAACCTAGCAAGCACAACTGAGCTATCAGGCTAGCTAATCTGTCTGCCTATAGTCTGTCCATTCATATTTATTCAGCTGGCTAATCTAGTGTTCCCTGGATCCATATCTAGCAGTAAAGAGAATAAGAACCTTACCCTCCCATATGTAGTGCCTGTTTCACTCATTTCTTCTTGCTCATACTGTTGTAATTAGGTCTGCTTCAGCAATATAGCAGGCTGGAAGTGTTGAACTGAGGGCCATCATTCACGGGTATCAGAATTTTAGGACCACATCCAGACAGTTCTCAAAGAGGCCTGATTAATGATTTTTAAGATGTTTTAATATACAACCCTATTTCCAAAAAAGTAAATAAAAACAAAAGTAAAATAAAAACAAAATACAATGATGTGCACATCATTAAAACCCCATATTTATTTGAAAATAGTACAAAGACAACTTATGAAATGCCCCACCACTATCTCTCATCTGTTCCTCCACTCTTATACCCAACCCCCCTGACACCGAGACTACATATTGAAAGGTAGAGAATGATTAGAAGTAGGTCTGCACTATATAATAAGATAAGATAAGATATCTTTGATAAGATGTGCTTTTTTGTGTGTGTTTACAGAAATCTTACTAACTTCTACGTTAACCACCATTCGCTACTGTGCAAAAAATGATGAAATGCTAATGACTAGTTACACCAGAACTGCAAAAACATTTCTGTGCACTGTTATGCTGAGTAAGAACACACAGTGTCACTAACGTGAAGTGCTACGCTTATGAGCCATCAAAAGCTATTTAACTGCTAATGGCGCCCTCTTGTGAAGAATTTGCAGCCTGCGAAATGTAGGTTCCATGAGGAGTTTCAGGACCAGCTTTTTCTATGGGTAATGGTGTAATTCATCTGTATTTTAAATATAGAGCTCCAATAAAAAAAAAAATTTGTTTGTAATTCTTTAAAAAGCTCCTTGTAATGATGCAGATATATTGACAGTAGCCTTTACTGCTTTATACAGCATAGCATACAGCCTTTGCCTTTTACGTACAACACTAAGAAAAAAAATATTAATCGTGTTTTAAGCATTTTACAGGTTAATAATTCAGGATAGAGTAGTGTTTAAGCTGTGTGTGCATGTTTTGTATCTTGCTGTTTAGCTCAATGGCAAATTTTTTGCTAAACCCCAGCATAAAGAAACTGTCTTCAGCTTCTGATGTTACTTTCCTACAAATCTAATTACATTACTGAAGTACTGCATGTGTGATCCAATCCCTCATTGCAGCCCCTAGGCATGTGTTTATCAAGGAAACTCATATTGTGATGATGATATAAGTATGATTTTGCATCGTGCAACCCTAATTAAAACAATACTCCTAAATGAAGGTTAGTAATTCTTTCACATCCATAAATAAATTAACTTTAAAAGTATATTATACTTTAATAAACTGTATACTGTAAAATTATAAAAATGTTTGTATCATACTGAAACTGTGTATATTAATCATCAAAGTTTGAATGAAAAAAAAAAACAAAATAGAAATACAACCCCATTTCTAAACAAGTTGGGACGCTGTGCAGAATGTGAATAAAAAGAGGATGCAGTGAGATGCAAATCATGCAAACCATATTTTTAAAGGAAAATACTACAAAGACAACATATCAAATGTTGAAACTGAGAAATTTTATTGTTTTTTTTTAAAAATATATGCCCATTTTGAATTTGATGCCAACAACACATTTCAAAAAAGTTGGGACGGGGGCAACAAAAGGCTGGTAAAGTTGTGTAATGCTTAAAAAAACACCTGGTGGAAAATTGGTAACAGGTCATTAACATGATTGGGTATGAAAAAGCATCCCAGAGAGGCTGAATCTTTCAGAAGTAAAGATCAGGAGGGGTTCACCACTCTGTGAAAGACTGAGTGGGCAAATAGTATAACAATTCAAGAATAACATTTCTTGATGAAAAAATAGCAGAAAAAATTAGCTTTTCATCATCTTTGGTACATAATATCATTAAAAGATTCAGAGAATCTGGAGAAATCT